AAACTCACGATTAGCATATTATATTTATTAAAATTTATATTATGTTTTCTAGTGATGAATTTTGAATCACTTTTAAACCCAATATTTTTTTAACCCCCAAATGGTAAAACTTGGTGAAAATTTTAATCTTTAGTACTTAAAAAAATTATTATAAATAATAGTTTGTGCGAAAACAAATTTACGATATAATAGAATTCATTAATATATGGGTATATTATTTTTTAAAAAATTATAATATATTTAAATAAAAAAAGTATATTTTATAAGTTACAATAACTATAACAAATTAAAAAAAAAAAAATTGAATATTTAAAAAAGGAAATAATGGGCATGGTAGAAATTTGAAGTGCGAGTTGGGGGAAAAAAGCAAGGAGTGGCTAGTGAGTTGCCACGTGTCCGCACGTAAAAAACACCGTGCGTCACAATCCTTCTTCGGCGGTCGGTGCCCGCTCTCTTTGACTTTTTTGTAGGTTTCAAAACTCCCAATAATTGCATCCAAAAAAAAAAAAAGAAAAAGAAAAAAAATTGTCCTTTCGATATCAACTTACTATTCTAGTGCCACACAATTTAAATATTTTTCATACTTCGTATATGTATGTATGTATGTATGTATATATATTTTTATTAAAAAAATTAATTCGTATAGCTGACGTAATATAATTAATTTAAAAATATAATAAATTTATTAAAACTTAAAACATAAATTTTTAATACATCTTTAAATTCCTAATTTCCTCGTGTATTATAAATAATTACTATTAATTTATAATACATTAACTAGACTTGCATTATTTCTATGACGAAGAAATAAGAACCCGAAAATAATTATTAACTGAAAAGTCCAAATCGAAAAAGAAAATAATAATTTTCCCAGGAACCAAACAGAAAAATTTTCGGAATTCGGAAATGTTTGCATATAGTGCCGAGAGTTACAAAAGTCCAAAAAGAATTGAGTCGGACCACCAAATTAAAACCCTAACCGCCTGTCACCACTTTGAAAAAAATACTTCACAAATAAAAAAATAAAAAAAAAAAACGAACCGTTTTATATGCAAAAACTACCGGCGTCAAACACTATGTTTTCATTTATTATACTGCGTAGAAGTTTTTGTGCTGCGACCACGATGATCGTGGCGAGACTACTGCATCTATCGTGACTGATGAAATGCTATTAGAATAAATTTAATACGATAGAAATAACTGTTAAGAATATGATATACATAGTTGTCGATACTGAAATAATTAGTTAAAAACAGGATATGCGTACGTAACAATGTATCCTATATGTATAAAGAAGTCAATTAGATCAATTTTTGCAAGCCCTGTGACTGCTCCAAATGCAACTGCGGTGCCTACACAAAGTTCACACTCCATCTTAACATCCATCAAAGTTTAAACAAGGAGGAGAAATTACACAGAAGCGAGCAAAAGCAATATACTTGAAGCAAGAAAATTTTAATTCTACATGCTAAGCAAGCAGCTTATGATGATAGCTAACCACCTTTTGATATATGAACAGTAAGGCAGAGTACAACTATACCTACCTCAGATTTACATTTAGTGTCAGGATTCCATCGTAGACTCTGCTTTTTGACGGAACCAAGATGAATGCGAACGCACAGCTCATACAGCCTTGTCTTCGGTCCACCAGTCTGAAGGTCCTAATCTTTTTAAACTCAACTCGAAGAGCCAGAAAGCTGACTTGGCCATGGCAAAGATTTTAAAAAAGAACATATTCAACATAAAATGTACTCAAAAGCATTAATGGAGGCGGTGTCTCAAATTCTCAGTATAGAGACCACAGTCAACTTGGGGGGAAAAGGGTGAGGGATTGTACACAGTTTACCAAATGAACAGGTATTCCGACCCAAAGGGTGTTACTGTACAGGCTGCAAACTATTATATATTATATAAACCTGAAACCAGAAATGACACAGATGACAATGTACAACCTGTGTATGGCTACTAATTTTGAAGTTTAACCTCATCAATCATTGTTGAATATTACAGGTGAAGGGGTGAAACACTAATATAGGTGTGTAACACTAAAATTTTTTCCAAAGAAACTGAAATTTGACCTTCTAAGAAGAAAAACCAGCTTCCATTGCTTGCAAGATTGCAGCAGTATTGAATTTAAAGTTTCTGAAACTCTTGCCAGCACCAGTCTCGGGTGGCCGATCAGATACTGGTTTCGCTGATTGGCTCTCAGCTACCGGTATGCTGCTCCCTACGGAACTGTTCTTTGCTTTCCACACGCAGATTCCTTGATAAACACAACAAGAAAAATCACCATAATATGAAAGAAAAAAGGAAATCAGCTAACACTTTGTTCATTCAAAAAATGCAAAAGCTTATACAAGAAGAAAAACAGGGTATACGAGTTAAGGGATGCACCACCTATGGCAATAATCTTTTTTTTCTTCTTCACGGAGAAGAAAACTTGAATTCTCATTAGACCTTCATTACTTTTTTTTTTTCTAAATTATGTATGCCTAGACACACAGAAAAAGATATAAATGTACATGTAACATCTACAGGATTTTGCTAGGGTCAGTATCCTTAAACAAAGCCAAAGTCTACTTATGCAAGCAAATGACTTGAACATAGTTGAAGTGGATGGTAATTATATATTGTAGAAACTGCAAAAATATTTTTTCAAAAAATCATGCTACAGACATCATTTCTCAAGTAGATTATAATTTAATCTTGAGTTGACTTTTAATTCTTATGCCAAGACGCTCCAGCAGGCAAGTCTTTAGTTCTTTTTTCCCTCTGCTTCTCTCCTTTTTCCTTTTGATATACAATAGCAATAAATCCTAGCATTAGTTATGGTAAAACCAGAAAATTGAAGGAAAAAGTTTCTACCTTTGAGGGGCATATCAGGTCTCCGAGCCACGGGAGGCTGGTGCACTGAAATCCAAGATTTCAAAGATCTGCATCAAGGCATCATGTTTATCAGATACTGGCAGAATAGAAGAAAAGTAATCAGCTTAAAGAAATAATCAATAGCAATGACAAAATACTGACAGCAAAAAAGGGGACACCATATAAAGCTTGAGGCCAGTGACCCCACGTGATATTACATGATCACTTGCTGCCTGAAGATCATCAATTCGATGCCATGCAATTTCCTGCAAGCACTCAACGTTAGAACTCTTTCCTACATTAGTAAAAATAATTTCTCCATGGAATAGTGACAAAGAAGGAGTAACAAAATTTACAGGCCAGAAAAACCAAGATAAGCATGAATTATCTTTCGATCAAATTGTACAAAGAGTTCTACTCTTAAGAGACAGCATATATATGCCCAGAGACAACTGCTGCCTCTGCAACAAACTGAGTGGTTTCGAGCTGGGGAAGCAGATGATTGGTTATAATGTACAAAACTTTGCACAGGTTTTGAAGATGGCTAATTATGTCACTCTTCTATCTTCCCAGAAAAAATTCACTCTTCTAGTTGACAAGTAATGAGCCATATAATAAGTTAACATTAAGTCACCTTCAGTGAATGAGTGCATTAAAGGGCAATACTTTTGCATATGAGGTGTAAGGGCTTGAGTAGTTGATGAAGTTAAAAACAGCCCATCATAATAAAGTTTTTTTAACCCCAAAGAATGTGAAGTTACATACACTGATCTCTTTTTTAGTTTGTGGGGCAAATGCAGTATCGTCCCTCACACCAGCAATTATGTAGAGCCGTACTCTCTGCTGCCCAAATATCAATTCAATGAATTCATCCTTCTTTAGTAGTTTTGAAACATCAAATCCGGTTTCCTCCTGGACCTGTATATGAGACACAAAAAGTATACTATCAGCAAACATGAAGGAGAAAGAGAGAGGAAGAGAGAGTCAACCCTTAGCAAACATAAGTCCAACTCCCATAAAAAGCTCTCAATAGAAACACATAGCAGTTGATTGATAAGTATCGACTTCTCTCGGTAGTCTTTCATCTGCAAATCAGTTTCTTGCATCTGTTCTATGCCTCTAACCAAGAAACAACTGAAATAAGAACCAAGTGAAGGACCTTCTACCCATCAACACTAGCTACTCCCCTAGAAAGCTCTCAATCAGAAATACACAGCATTTGATTGTAACTCACATATCACATTTCCTCTCAGTAAAGTTTCATCTATAACTAAGCCTCTTGCATCTGCTCTATGCCTCTAACCCAAAGTTGACTGAAAGCCCTTTCACCCCTAAACATTAGCTGTGAAACACATGGAATATTCCTTTATGTTTCAACAACCACACAAAAAAGTTTCCAATTCAAGTGTTTAAGATTAAAATTAATCAAACAGTTCAAGGATACAGTCAGACTAAGAAAAGTGAAGAAGTGCATATGTTCGTCACAGTGGATTTATGTCTAAGAAGAAAATTTGAAAGTCAGATTTCATTGGAGAATATGCTGACTATGTTCGATGGAAATGCCAATTAAGGAACCAGTCTCTCATGCATTACTAATTGCCGACTATCTACACTTCTTCCTTCATCATAGCACCTAACAAATGATAGCAAGTCTATTCTTTTTGGAATATGTTAATCTCAGCCTTGATAAAGGATCATCCTCTTTATTCTTGTGAGATAGCTGGGGACCTTATAGATATTTTGCTTGACGTATAAATTTTTTGTACATGGGTTTGCACCTTTTTAGTGCTTGTGAATGGTTACTATTTTCATTTCAGAAAATGTTAATCGTAGCCTTATCAAATTAAGTATTCTTCATCAATGGGTGAAGTATGTCTTATCATCCCAAAAACTTTATAATAACCTACCTTCCAGGTCTGTGATTCGTTTCCTAAACAGCAGAATCACCAAATGCCATTTCATTTAACAAGCTCGTTTCAGCCAGCTAGCTAGTAATGTTG